CTATCTGTACTCTGCCCACCACGGGTATCGAAACTCGGTTTCTAACGATGTAAGTCCGCAGACATACCGCTGTGCCACTGGGGGGCACTAAATAGCTTATAAAATATATTGCATGTGTCGTTGACACATCTGTCTCCTACTAATAGTTGACTAACTACTTATATTGCTTTTATGTACTCTTAATTTTCCATTTCAGTGGTGAATTAGATTTTTAAAAAGTATGTTAAAACCAAGTTAACTTTATATACAAAATTACGATGTAATCCTTGTACTACTTGTGTTTGTGATACCAACACTCGGATGCTTTAGGAATATTCAACGTAGACAAAATGTCGCAATTATTTCAGAAAATATATAGAAAAAGAAAACTAAAAAAATGGAAATGTATTAAGCTGACAGCGCAACAAAAATTGTTTTCAGACTATTGGAAAAAACGTCCCAAGACAAATTGAGCAATCGGGCCTTTGAGACAGTGCTCTAAGTACTGTATGTGTAATTTTCTTTATTTTCAGAGTTTTTCACTTCAAGCACGTGTTTAATTTTGAATTCAGTCTACTTTCATGTGTTTGTGTCCAAAATGGAAGCTGGTTTTGTACTTTAGCGTTTTTCACGTTTTATTTGTCATTTAATTAGAGTAGACAACTACAATTGGCAATTTATTAACTTAGAGAGAATGAAGTACGACAGTGTCAAAAAAAAATACAAATACGAAACACCAAAATACACTAATGAACCTCGATAAGAAATCCTCTTAGTGTTCAATCGAATCCTAGGACTAAGAGTTCATGACCAAAACAATGAGCATGAATTTAGTTGTTGCGATTAGCTCCTCTTTAAACAAACTTCCATTTATACATATATACGTGTGTGTCTAACTGTTGCAATATTAATCCTGATTTCACAATATTTTATTTCCAAACATTCTGGATTTTACAGTTAGTATAGTTACTGAGCTTCATCATCGCAACATTTTACATTTCAATAGTGTAGATATGCGGTTTGAACAATTACATTATATTATTCTATAAACAGGCTGCAGCAATAAAGTTGAAAATAAACTGTAAACATGTATTTTTAATTCAGTACCGAAACAATTAGGCTTGATCTAAATAACGAAGTGATTTATTTAAACACATATCATCGAAATATATGTTACCGTGCCCGTGGCCTACTTTTTCATTATAAACGACTTCATTCCTCGAAATCTTCTTTCTTCGTTTTATCTTTTTTCTTCTTCTTCCTTACTTTAGGGATGATTAAGTTAAAATGTTTCAGAAGAAGTTCAGGTTCTACACTAGAGGAAATGAGTTGTTCAACATGTCACATATACACACACATATAACTAGGTTTGAATCAGAAAATCGAAATTAAAGCCATTGGGTGAGCAATAAATATTACTTTTTCATTGCATACAGTTAAGGGCGACAAAAAACAAACTCATTGAAATGATTCCAGCGGTTTTCTTCCGAGTCCTGACCAGGTTTTGGTGGCTCGTTAGAGCTTCCATTGCACGATGTTCCTGACCCTGCAGCTCCCACACACTGGAACCCAGCATCTTGAAGGCAATCAAATGCCTGTTCCAAAAAATTATGTTTCAAGAAAAATCGTGCTGTGTACCGGTCATCATTACATCTGTCAGGGTCTCGGCTTTCGTTGAGGGTCTCTCCGAATACCTCTCGGCATATTCCGACCTTACCACACACCAAAAGTCTTGTCAGCTTCCGAAACTTAACATCGGCTAAACCGTCTCTACCAAAAGCAAAAGTTCCGCGATAGCCGACGGTGATGAATCCGGGTGGTTTATGATGCTGCTTGTCCAATTCAGAAAACTTAGAATCTGTTACCTGCGAGGATACAGCAGGAATGCAATCTACCATCGCCGGAAGAATGAAATATTCGGCTTCTTGTCGTAGCCGCTCTCGCTCATGGAAGTTCTCCGGTAACATCAGTCTGTGGTTTCGTAGAAAATCCAATACGTAGCGGAATAGCACCCCATCTCTATCAATAAAGAACTTTCCCTTAGAATCGCGAGGTACAGATTTACTCACTTTACTCATAAAAAGCTGGCCCAAAAGTGAATTAGGGTCAGAGGTCAAAGTTTTCAAAGATGTTGTATAAAACACACCTCCGACATTTAGTTCTACCACAGAGGGAAAGTTCGAGAGTTTATCTTCTCCATTAGATGCCGAGGACATCATGAAAATTTGGCGATGCAGAATTTTTTTCCACAAAGAAAGGTGATTGTTGCAGAAGGAGTTGACTCAACTAGTAGCTGAACTTTCGAAAAGTCCAATTAATCAATATAATAAATTTTCCGCCTTATCTGAAAATTAACTTGATGTTCCCCGAGAAATTTTTGCTTAAGCGGACTGACTTCTCATTTGAAGTATAACTTTATTGGCCAGAGTAACTCCACTCATGTGTTGTAGAGCTGATCGCGTTCGCTCTATATAAAGCTGTAAGGGCCAAAAACAATCAATAACTCACATTTCAACAGCACCAAGAAAATGTACCGCCATCTAGTAGGGCCAGCTCGAACTTTTCAGTTAAAAGAATTAATAAAACTGTGGTATCATAAGAAAGACTTGAACGATCATTTTAGTTATTGCTCCCCCACCCCGGAAAAAAATCCAATGCTTCTATTTCACTTAATTCAGTGATTTAATTTTGAAACAAAACGAGAAACAACAATAACAATAACATAAAGATGTTGCAAAAACCAGATTACATAAAAAAACTTCAAATAATAATGTGTTTTCTTGGCTACTATTCATGATAAATGGTCATTCAATGAACGTACTAAAAATAATTTCCTAAAGTTTATAGACAACATTTTTGAAAGACTAAGTGATAATTGTGCATTGTTGAAATATTCCAATCGGTTAAAACCTTTTTTTTATGATATAAGTAGCGCTGAACCCTATTTCAATTTTATTATATACTTTTAGAATAGCTGGTATTTGTGCACACATCGTTAACCAGAACTGGAGTGGATTATGTGTGTGTGTATTCGTAAAGCGAAGTAATTATTTAACAAAGTGATTTTTCATGTACTACTACACTTTATAAGAACTATTAGAATATATACATAAGTACATTATAGTCGTATTCTAGAAGGAATATTAATACACCATAACTGCTAAGCAATGTAGAGTGAAGGATGATAGTTTTGTTTGCTTAATTTCGCGCAAAGCTACTCGAGGACTATCTGCGACCTCGTCTCTACTATAAAAGTGATAAAGGGAAGGCAGTTAGTTAACAACACCAATCGCCAACGTTTGGACTACTCTTTACCAATGAAAAGTGTGAGTGAACGGCTGAAAGGGCGAACATGGTCGGTGGCGGGATTCGAGCCTGCGATTCGCAGATTCCGAGCTGAGCGCCCTAATCAACAGGCAAGATCATGTTGTTTCAAGAAAAAGTGTTGAATTTTCTCCATGGAAACGGAGAAACTCGCAGGAAAGAGTGATAAAGGAGAGCAACAGTTCCAAAAGTGTACAATAAACCGCAAAGAGCAGGGTATGGTTAAAAAAGAACGTCAATTGACCTACAAAAAATATTGCCCTCTAGTGGCACAGCGGTATGTCTGAGGACTTATACTGCTAGAAAACGGGTTTTGATAACTGTGGTTGGCAGAGCATAGATAGCCCTTTGTGTAGCTTTGTGCCTAACAAACAACAAAAGTTATTATAATAATAATATTGGTGTACAAAATTTGTCGAATGTGGATGATGTTTACTAAGTTAACTATAATAAATATGATTTATAATAAACAAATACATTAATAATTATACATAACTATACAATATTTTAAGTACTCATAAATAATGCTTCCTATATAATACTTTATATTTTAAATATTAATAATATATTATTTTAAGTGTTTATAATGTTTTATTCTAAATTCATATATATATACATACATATATATTAAAAAACAGATTTTCAGATTCATCTAGGTTGGTTATCCATTTTGTCAATAATGATTTAATGTATACATACTTACCATTCATTGGTGATCTTATTTTATTTGGAATATTGTTATAATGTTTTGGTGCTTGATACAAATCACTTTAACATATATTTCCTTTTTTTACTTTTTTTACTTTATAAATTCTCTTCAGCTTTTGTTTCATATATTGCTTATATTTTTGCCGGTTTCGTATGTCTTTGTTAAATGTATTTAATGTTTTATAAATATATAATGTATTTAACTCTAATATATTCAAATTTTTGAAATGTTATTTCGTATTATCATACTATGATAATAGTAATAATATACATCTTATAATATTTTTAACAGTATTGTAACGATTGAGTTTGATAAGTACCTCTCCTCTTATTTATACCGTATAGAAGGATAGAATCAAACCAGGCATAATAGGAAATAGGATTTCTTTCAAATTACAAAACCTTACTACAACATTTCTTTCCAATACTTTAATTTTTTTCTTTCTTTTTAGCCCTCTGGTGGCTAAGTGGTAAGTCTGAGGACTTATAATGCTAAAAATAATATTTCGATACTTATGGTGGGAGCAGCACAAATAACATATTGTGCAGCTTTGTGCCTAACAACAAAAAAATAAACTTTCTTTCCAATTAAACTTATAACCTGTTATTTTCCAAGATATTTAAAATGTTCAGGTTTTTTTTTGCAATATAGTTTTAATGTTTGCAATATTTTTGCTATCTAAGATTTACCTCTACAATTGCTGTAATACATTAAATTATTTCCAACTATTGGTTTGATTCTTTTACGGACAGTCTCATATAAACCACTTTCTTAACATTTAAGCATAACAAATTTTCTTTATACATCTTAAATCATTATTTATATGTTTGTTATGTCATCATCGGAAGTTCAATCATAAATAAATATTGAATAATCTCAAAACTATTAAACAGTTAAACTAAAATTTCACAGAAATCATTTGAATAAAGTGAAAATTATATTGGACAGTAAAATTGAGCTCTGGGATATTCAAGAAATAATTTCCATTTTATTGTTTATGATTGTGTTAATTTCAACTACTTGTTTTCTGTTTAACATCTGTTACACGAACCAGCCCAGCATCGTTTAGTACTAAGCTTAGAATAGTCAACAGGGTGGGTCATTTCGGAAACCGGTGATTTAGAGGTATTTCGATAGATCTCGATGAATAAAGTTCGGCACAACTTTTGAAACGAAAAAATAACAACAAATAAAAGCAACTAAATGTTCATGAAAATATAACATGGATTATGCTATGATGGTACCATTCTGGGCATTATACCATCCTTCTTATATTTACCCTTCAATGCAGAAATGGCATTTTTAATTTGAGAATCGCTAGGGAAATCATTTTGTAATGCATTGTGCAGCTGCTACAACTTCAACAATCCAACTTTGAGCTTTACTGTGCCGTTAGTGTGACAAAATATTAAAACTTACAATTTTTATATGTGATTCCAATCCCGCTTTTTGAAAATAACAGTACTGTTGTGCCCTTTTTTGTGTTTCGCTATTATTGCAGTAATCAATTGACGAATCTCCGATTCAGCTGGTTCTTCAAATCATTGCGATATCTTTGAATAAGTTCTTCCCTCATCCAACCAGGACCCACGGTTTAGCTTAATTGCTACACTTAAAACCACCACATTCACAACCACATCTAGAACATTTCAAGTATGTTTAATTGCCACATCATTTTAGTTTACATTTACAATCTACAATTTAACTTCTCCATGTTGGCTCTCATGGTCTCGAGTCTGGTCAAGAGACCAGTCACGGGTCTGGTCCAGCGATCTCGACCTCGAAAATACTGCCAAACATTTTTTTTTTTGTTTAATCCCAACCCCAATCTTTCCGAAATGACTCTCTTTTTTATCCACATAAAGATGCCAGTCTGACTCGTATGTCAGGTGTTAATATTTATCATTTAAACCATTCTAAAGCAACACCTGTTTTTCATTTTATAGAATTGTTTAAAGTAACCGCTCTTGCGAAATTGTATCAAAAGGTTTTCAATTTATCTTGAAATGGGCATATTTTAAGTTATCATCATTAACAAAATCATTTCTTTTAGTAGTTACCTTATGTAGTGTATACTCTGCATTCATATTTTTCTTAAACCCAACTGCGAATTTGAGAAAAAAATTATTTAATCTGAATATGGTATAAATATTTCTTTAACTATTTCTTCAAGGATTTTTTATGTACTTGATAACAAAGCAAATGGTCTGTCATATGTCCTTTCTCACGGGAAACCTTGCTGTAGCGTAGAACATACTGTTTAGAAATCAACAGCAATCATATCCACTGGCAAATCAAGAGATGCCCCAGAGATACAACATATCATGTTTTGAATTGAGAGTTACCGTTAGTCATGTGAGTAGCACCTGTGATATGAAAAGAATGGCATTGTTGTCATTAGTATATAATGTTATGGTTTTTTTTCAGTCAGCTACAAAATAGGAATATTTCAAAATTTACAGATTTCAAGATTTAAAACAGATTACAGGGACACAAAGAGATATCACTCCCGTAAAGGCACTACACAATACATTCATCTTTTTATTGTGTTCAACTGTGTATCGTCTCTTTCTTTGCTTCAAACTCAATCAAGGTTAAGTGAATTGAGGTTTTTACTTCGCAATACATTTTGTGGTAAGCCTCCCGTTATTCTGCGGCTCCTATCTAATTACACGACAGGAAATCATTAAACTTGAGAATATCATAATTACTCTTATAACAATATTTATTGATGCAAATATAATAATTCTTAGCCATTTTTATGTCCTTTATTTAATGCACTTAAAGCATAAATAAAAAAATAGTATAATAGAGTTAAATTCCATAATTGACATATTAGAGTGTTACTTCTTGATTTTTTGCGCCAAGCTTCACATTTGAGTTATCTGCACTCTGTCCACAGCAAGGACATTGAAGGACTAGACTGATACATATAGTTAGGAAATGGATAAAATATTTAAAGGATAAAAAATAAATTCTGTACATAAATGAATCATATAAAAACAGAGGTATTCAACATTGTAGTAAACATATGTTTACTTCTTGGATTAATCTGAGTACCATTCGAGTATTGAAATACTGCACCAGGTAATTAAAACCTTTCTTGCAAAAAAAAAGAAAAAAAAGAACAGCAGTGTATTTGTCTATAAACATTTCGGTGTCACATACTTCTTTTCACAATTTAAATGATTTCACTTTTAGAACTATCAATTTAGGGTATTAGAGTAATAATGGGATATTAATATCCGTAAAGATGAAAGAATAGTTATACGGACCTCTGAAAATATATATATATCCATTAGATGAAATTACTTTTTAACATTTCCAAAAATAGATTATGGAATTAAACTAAAAATATAGTACTCGTTTTTGTATTTTTGTTTATGTAA